TCAGGATTTTCATTTCTCTCTTAAAGCTCCTGACCTCAGTGGTACTCAAAGGAGCATTCACAAACACGAAACCCCCTTAGGCCAGAGGAACTTCCCTTAAAGGGAACAGGCTTAATTTCTTTGGCTCAAGGGCTAGGTTCTCCTGGTCCTTCAGGAGCTGCTTCAACTCCCTTTTTAAGGGCCCTCAGGGATACTCCTGCAAATCGATAAGATCGCCCTTTGGTTCCTCCTCAGGGGGAGTGAGGTTTGGTATAGGATCAGGGGGAGCAGCCCCAGCAGCAGCCTTCAGAGGAGGAGTAACATAGGGAGGGGGAAGGGAAAGGAGAGGGTCCCAAGGGTGGGGCCGAATCTCTTCCCTCTTTCCCTCCCTGTCCTTCACCAACATCTGCTGCTCCTCAGGCATCCAAAGTGCCCCATAGGAACTCTGGGAATTGAAAGGTTCCTTAGCATTCACATACAAATTTAGCTTTTGCATATCCAGTCTTTGGAGGATCCAAATTTAGTGCTGCCCCCAATATCCATTCTGCCCCAGATAAAACAACAATATTTAATCATTTCCTTCCTATCCTTTCCTCTGTATTTTGGTAGTCCGTTCCAATTCTGCAATCAATTGCCTAAAGGACTGTCTATAGGTACATCACATTTGCGCTCCAACTGAGCAGATTTAGATTGTCCCTTTCCCATTCTTAGGGAACCCCTAGGCCCTCACCTAGGGAATTACGGGAGCCACCGAACTCCTCGAGTCTAAAGACAGAGTCAGCCAAATTACCGAGGAGGGTTGCCCACTTCTCACCATTCACCCATGAGGCTTTCTCAGCGGCATCCTTCCAATGAGGTATCTATTCCACAATTTGACCAGGCCCAGACTCCGCCCAAAGTAGAGTCTATCCTAAAGGGCCCTCACCCTGTGCCAATTACCTCCAGACCCTGAGTGCTTACCTCTGGGTTGCGCATGTACAACTTAAATGACTGCTCTCAGCCACTAGCCGGCCAGAATTTCTCAGTTTTGTCCGTAATCATCGGAGCCCTGAGAAACCTTCTGTTTCTCCAAGTCCCTCTCTTCGGGTATATTTCAGTGACTAGGTGGTAACTTCCCTCCAGGGTTCAAGACCTCCGAGAAATCTCAGATGCGCACTTGGTCTTGACCTCGGCAAGGGAAGCCCCCCCCCAATCAAAGAAAATACCAGATGATCACCCAGTTGAGTGGAATTAAGATCACTTACCCAAATAAAAACTCAGAGGTATCTCCAGGTAGAAAATAGAAGGTTTTATTCTAGCAAGTCTCATGCGAAAGAAAGTTGGGCATCTCCTACCCAGGGCAGACTGGAGTAGTGAGGCCCAACACAAACAACAGCAAGCATTATATATAGTCTCAGACAAAGCACTCCAAAAAGCTCCCCCTACCTGTGTGTCTTAATCTCTTTATCCTCATTGGCTGAGGCAAGAGACATCACAGTCTATATTTAGAACCCAAGAGATACATTTTACTCAAAACTTGCTTGAGAGCTAGAAGATTACCTTATTTGGTAAAATTAAGGCACAGAACAAAGGGGGGGGTGTTACAAAAAAAGGGAGGGGGTGGACAGCTGGTGCACAGTCCCCATTCCCCAATAACAAAAGTGAAACATAGGCCCAGCTCATGCTGAAGCCTTACTACATTTTTGGAGCATAGCTTACATCTCACATGGAAACTTTCATTTGTCCTGCACATGAAGGAGCTTACTAATGGAGGAGACAAAATATATGCAGGATAAATTTGGAGTTTTCTTAGAGGGAAGTCACTGAGATTAAAGAGAAAATGAAAGGGCTTCTTGCACACTTTAGGTGAGACTTGAAGGGAGCCACCAGGAGGTGGAGATAAGTAGAGAAAGAATAATAGGTGTGGGGGACAGCCAGTGAAAACACTCACAGATGGGCTATGGAGTGTCCTATCTGAGGAACAGAAAGGAGGCCAATGTCATTGGGCTGCGGAATATGTGGGGGTGAGTAAGGTATAAAAAAACCAGAAAGGTAGAAGGGTAGGGCCATGTTATAAAGGGCTTCAAAAGCCAAGCGGGGTTTTATATTTGATCCCAGAGGTATGAATGTGGGTGGGGTGTTGATTCACTCAAGTCTGTGCTTTAGAAAGATCAGTTTGATATTTGAGTGAAAACCTGAGGCAGAGTGACCAACCAGTAGGCTATTGTAATAGGCCGAAGTGTGAGATGTTGAGGGCTTGCACCAGGATGGTAGCAATGATGGAGGACAGATGGGGGCATATATAAGGAAATTACAAGACTTGGCAACTGATTGAATATGAGGATGAGAGAGAGTGGGGAGTCAAGGATGATGCCTAGTTTGTGAGCCCTGGTGAATAGGAAGATGTTGATAACCTTCACATAATAAAGAAGGTAGGAAAAGGGGAGAGTTTGTGGGAAAATGAGTTCATTTTTCAGCCTCTTGAGTTTAAGATGTCAATGAAATATATAGTTTGAAATGCCTTATAGATAGTTGGAGATAAGAGACTGGAGGAGAGAAAGAAAGGATAGAAGTGGACAAATAATCTAAAATCACCTGCATAGAGATGATAGTTGAATCCACTAGAGCTGATGAGAACACTAATATAATAGTATAAATGGAAAAGAGAAGAGAATCTTCGTAGGTATGACGTGGATGAAGAAGGAAAATGAGAAAGAATAGTCAGAAACATAATTGGAGAATCAGGGTAGACTATCACTAAAACCAGAGAAGAGAGGGATTGACAGTATTAAAGACCTCAGAGAGATCAAAAAGCGTAAGAATTTAGAAAAGGTCATTAGATTTTGCAATTAAGAGATCATTGGTAACTTTGGAGAGAATGGTTTCAGTTGAATTATGAGGTCTGCAGAGATATGAAAAAGGAAGTGAGAGGAAAGGAAATGGAAGTAACAATTTTAAATCACTTTTTCCGGAGTTTAGCCACAAAAGTGAGGAAAGATATGGGACAACAGCTAATGGAGATGAATTGATCAAATGAGGATTATTTGAAGATGGGGGACTCATGGACATGTTTGTAGGCAGTAGGCAAGCAGTTGAGCAGCTAGGTGGCACAGTGAATAGAATGTCAGGCATGGAGTCAAGAAGAGTCATCTTCCTTTCAAAGCTGACCTGAGAAACTAGTTGTGTGATGCTAGACAAGTCACTTCACCCTGTTTGCCTCAGTTTCCTCATTTGTAAAATGAGTTGGAGAAGGAAATGGCAAACCACTGTAGTCCAAGTACCTTTGCCAAGAAAACCCCAAATAGGGTCACAGTCGGACATAAAGGAAGAGAGACTGAATGACAGGGAAGCAGTCGAGAGAGAGAGAGACACTGAAGTGAATGAGTGGGGATAATATAGAAGGCGATGTGCTGGAGAAGACAGAATTGAGTTTGTGCACGTAGAGAAAGGTTTGTCTCGGCAAGGAGAAGGATTACCTCTTCACATGAAATAGGAGTGAAGGGGGGTATAGTGGAGGAGGGTATCTCAGTGATAGGAGAAAGGCAGAAGGACCTCTCACTGAATGGGCCCTTTTTTTTCAGTGAAGTAGAGGCAAGGTTTTCAATCAGTGGATCCATTAGAAGTTTGAGGAGAGATGAAAAGATTTTGAAAAACCCATATGGTGAGTAAGATTGTAAGTCAGGGAGAGATATAAAAATATTGCCTTGCTGCATTGAGGGCCCAGATGAGATCATGTAAAACAAATTTGTATTTGTCTTAAATTAGCATGTTTTAGTGATTTCTCTCCAGTCTTGTTCAGTAGTGCCTGTGTAGAAAAGATGGCAGTGGATGGTGAGAATAATGCAGGACCAAAGCTTGGCAAGGCAAGGTCTTCAATAAGATAAGAAGCAAGAGACTGAAGAGCTGAGGAAAGTGTATAGCTGAATTGGTTCACCAGGGGTCAAGATGACAAAAGGAGTCGAATAGCCTGTGCAATAGTGATGGCCTGGGAAAGAACTGAGAAGTGTAAGGATTAGCAATCACAGTGAGGACAAAGAACAAGATTTGGGATTGTGGGGCAGAGGAGGAGATGGAATGACAGCAAATTGTGACTAGAGAAAGGATTTTCACAGTTCATGAACATGGGGATGGCCCTTTCTGGCTGATTGCAAGATCAAAGAAGAAGAATATGATCATCTCTATGTAGGGGAGTAGAGTGGAGGAATAGTTCAAGTGAATTGAGTAAACTGAGAGACTGGGAGATTAAATTTTTTGAGGGAGTCTAGGAAGAGTATCAATACGAGGAAGTCCCCTGGTATGAGACCAGGAATTGGTGAAGAGAAAAAGACTGGAAACTAGGTACCCTTTGAGAAAGAAAAGAGAATGTCCTGCATGTCAGTAAACAATAGCCGCCAGAATCTTAATTGGGTGATAACGATGGTTTGTATGAACCTAAAAGGTTACTGAGTGATGGTGATAAAATGGGAGAATTTAGAAGTGGTAATGGGGAGCAAGGAACAACTCCCCCACATTAACCATTGAGTCAAGGGTTACAAGTGAAAGTGCAGTTAGTGCTGGAAAGTGTAGACAGGGAAGCTGTGTCATTAGGAGAGAGCCAAGTTACAGTGAGTGAAAGAAAGTGGAAGGAGTGGGAAAAGAAAAGGTTTAATAAGATTGTTAATGTGTTGCCTACGGAGAAGCATTTCAGAGAGTAGGGAGACAGACCTAAGGCAGGCAGACCAATGAACAGGCTGGATGGTGGTCTAGATGTTCCCTAGCAGGGTAGTTATAAAGGAGAGTAGGAGATTTTACGTACATACATACATAGATACATACATATGTACATACATGTCTTAAGAAGGTAAAAATGACATGGCTTAATCCTACCATTTTCATACTAGAAATCAACTTATTTTGTTACTTTCCTTTTTTCCTTTATCTTCCTTCTTTTGTACTCTAAGCCTCACATTTTTCTTAATTGGAATTTTCAGTTTATTTCTATGTAATCTTAGTTGAACATCTTTCTGATTATTGCGTCTTATTTTTATTGGGTTATTTTCTAGATGGGAAGTGATGGAGTTTTACGCCTCAGTAGTTCTGCCCTAAATAATGAATTCTTTGCATATGCAGCACAAGGATGGAAACAGCGATTAGCAGAAGGTAAATTTCCATTTTTTCTTATTCTGTGACATATGAAGTCTTAAAGTCCTACTCTACTGACTCATCATGGCAGGAAGATCACTCACTACTTGCCTAGTTTTCTAGAACAACTAGGAAGAGAAGCTTTGGCATGTCTTACTTAAATGGAAAAACAATGATACTGGATTTTGTGCCCATCACTGAAGACCACCAACCTACTTAAATTCTTAATCACTAATTGCCAGGTTGGCCACAAAGTAATTAATTTGGAAGGGAAGAAAAGTTAGGAAGCAGCTCACAAAGGTGGTCTGCTAAGAGTTCACAAAGACACAAATGCCGTCTCTGTCACTTACTACCTATATGATCTTTGACCAGTCTCATTCTTTGGATCTCTGTTTCTTCATCTGTAAAATGAGGGGTTTGAGCTAGATGATATATAAATTCCCTTCCATCTCTTAATCTGTGATCGTTATCATCCAAAGCCAGTTTTTTAAGGGGTTGCAACCTATTCAGTGAAGAGAGTATCCATACCAACAGTGTTATAGTTCTTCGAAGCATTGAAGTATCTGACACAACAGAATCTCCAAGATGTTCTGGGTTCTCTATTCTTTCTCAGATTTCTCAATTTGTCAAAATTCTTCTGAATAATACTTTAATTTAGTACAAGTCAAATCCTGTTTCAACAAATTCTAAGGGGCTTTCCTAATGCTTTCAGTATAAGGAAGATCATTGGCTCTGAAGTTTTAGAGGACCTAGGTTCGACTCTACCTCAGATTTGTTTACCTTGGGCAAATTGTTTAACCTCCAAGGACCTCATTTTCTCCATTTACAAAATTAAGAAGTTGAACTGCTTGCTTCCAGCTCTAGATCTGTGATCCTGTCAGCCTGTTTTGGGGGGGGGGGGTATTTCTATTGAAGATTGTGTGAAGTGGGCCATAATCTAATCCTCGACCCTTGCCTAGTGCCAAAGACAGAAAGATCTGGGTTGCTGAAGTTTCTGTCTGCCTCCATCCCTTTATCCACTGCCTCAAGGTAGGCATCATAACCTCTGGGGGCCTAGACTGTGGCAGCTTCCTCTTAGTCCTTTGTTGTATTGAAAAGAACAGTGAATTTGAATCTTCGGTCTGCTGCTTACCATGTATATGTCCTGTATGTCCTCTGATAAGGTATAAGAGGTAGGATCACCTTTATTCAAGGTATTAGCATTTGTCTTCTAGGAGAGTTTACCCCAGAAATGCAGTTACGGATAAGACAAGAAATTGAGAAGGAAAAGAAAACAGAACCTTGGAAAGAGAAATTCTTTGAAAGATTTTATGGAGAAAAGTAAGTATTAAAGAATTTTTTTTTCATTTCTTTTAAAGCGAAATATAAATATAATTCTTTGCTTTAAATAGAACACTCATGCTGTAGCACTCAATAAACCTTTGATAAAAGGCAGGCACTCCCTTGTATAAGGAATTGTGGGTAAAATTATAGTGGCATGTCAGCACTCCCATTAAAAAACTCATTTTCAAGAGTGTACAGCTTGTCCATAAAAATTCATTCTGGAATGAAAATGGCACATGGGATTTTACTGTAGAAGTCAAATTTGATTTTTCTTAGTTAATTTTTTAAAGAAATCTATTTCTTCATTTTTGAAGTGTTTCTATTAATAAATATATTAGAAATAGATGGTTGAGGCATGTTTGTATTATCATAAATCAGTTACATTCTTATTTTTTCAGAAGTGCTGAATGTAAACATATGCTTTTAGTGCTTATTTAAGTAAGAACTAAGTTAATGTATGTTTATGGAAATGTGTTGCAAAGGTGATATTACTGTTTTTGACTGTGTTAATTCTTACTTGCTTACATATATTTCTTTTTTTTAAAATATGTTTCTTGTGTTCACCTCTTATAGTTTTAGGTTTTAGAGGTTTTTATTTTAGGGTAGAGGGTGGTTGTGTTTAGACTTAATAAAGCTATTTCCATGCAACACTTATATATGCTGATCATTATGAAATAAATTAAAATGTTGGGTCAAAGTGCTGTAAATCAAACATTTTACAAACTTGCTGCCAACAGAGTCTTGTGAATAGTTCAGTCCATATGAAAGGTGGATTTAGCCACTGAGTTTTGACTGGATTTAGGTTTCCTTCCATGTAAGAGTATGTGCACTGACTTTTAATTACTAGACTTAAACCTGAATTCAGTTGCTTATTTTATGTTTAAAAAAAAATGGCTAAATCCTTTTAAGGTACCAGGCTTGGCTGTTTTCCCTTGTAGCTCATGATTCTCCTGTGAATGGAGGAATCCTGGGCTCAATGAGTTGATTTAGTAAACTGCCTGTTTAAGGAGGGTGGTGGCCATTAGTGACATGCACCAGGTAGCAAGACTGATGAATAGGAAGGCCTACTCTTGAGAGCAACCAAAGGAGGATTGTCAAAGGCATTTGGATGCTAAATCATAACTAATCATAAGTAATTTTAATTTTTTTTTCATTTCCTTTTTTATTTTTTTGGTGGGGGGGATGGTGGGGGAATTGAAAAAATATCAAGTTCAGGGTTATACCAGGTGCCTACTCTAAAACATCGTTGAGGACTATGGTTCAAGCCCTAGGGAAAATGTTGGATACCACAGTAATTCACGCTTAATTTTTGTTTAGTGCATTCTTACTGGTAGTAGCATCTTAATGACTGAGTTAACCATCTAGAGTCTGGCAGTCATGTTGTCCCAAAAGAATTTAAGTCAGCAGGCTTGAGTTCTTCAGTTAGAATTCCTCTCAGTATGTGGCAGTGAACAACAGTTTTTGCTTTGTAACTTTCTACCTTTTTTTTGGTGAAGTGCATAGGGAGAGGATAAATTAGAAGAGGATATTTCTTCTTTAGTGATCTACTTTGTCATTTCCTGGCTATCTTCTAACTTTGCAAATATTTTGTGTCCTTGAGCAATTTTTGACAAATCTCTTGACCAATACACCACTAAGGTTTATTTATCCATATGCTTTAAATTTCTTCCCTCTCTGTATCTTCCCTTACTGGCACATGTGTGCAAGTATGATGCATGCATATGTATCATTTATGTATATATGTGTTTATATTTTGCCATCAAGTTGAAAAGTCTTTATTACCCCTTTGAGTATTTCTTGATTATTTTCGCAGACTGGCATCCATTAAAGGTCTGCCATGTTCAGTTCTCTGCCTTGAGTTTGGCATTTTTGCTGTGGTCCCTCACGGGCTTATTTGACCTATAAGCAGGCCAACTTTTCATTGTCATACTAGTGACCTGAAAGTAAGACACTCAGGTCTTTTATCTTGGAACTGTTGAATGTATTGTTCCTGAGGCAATTAGGTGATGCAGTGAATAGGATGGTAGGCCTGCAGTGAGGAAGCCCTGAGTTCAAACGTGACTTTAGAAGCTACTAGCCATGTGACCCTGGCAAATCTCCTAACCGATTTGTGTCTGAGTTTCCTCATATGTAAGGGATAAGGAGAATAAGTTGGGGATAAATTGTAAGAACTAAATGAGATAATATTTATTAAGTTTTTAACACAGTATCTGGTGCATAGTAGGTGCTTAATAAATCCTTCCTTCTTCCCTCTTACCTGCCTTGTGGCTGCTTGCCTGCCTTCTGTCCATAAAATCTATTTGTATAAGCTGGATTTGATTTCTCTTTCCTTACCATTCTGTCACATTTCTACATGAGAATGTATATTGTAAATCTGTGTGTGACACTGAAGCATTCAGTACAGCCCTCAGCAGGTTAACCATTAATATCATTGACTACCTTAATTGCCGTGAGATGGTTACTACATTCCAGGCCAGCCCAACTAATTTACTAGCTTTAGGTAAAGCTTGGAGTTGGAATGCACCTAGAAGTTACGTAGTTCCGCTTCTTACCTAACATAGGAATTTCCTCTATGACATCCATGATAATTTGAATACTTTCAGTAAGAGAAAACTCACTGCCCCACATGCAAACTTATTACAGTTTTGCAAATGCAGTTAGAAGAAATTCTTTCCTTTCAATTGAAATAAAACTTGCTCCTCTGAAAAATCTACCTTTTGGTTCTAGTTGTGCTTTATGGACCCACAGGAATATTTGACGTTTTTCTGCACATTGTGTCCCCTGATGATTCATTGCTTCTCTAGGCTAGACACCCCCAGAGTTTCCTTTAGACATTCCTTGTGTGAAAAGGAATTACAGAAGTAAAATCACATAATCTCAGAGCAGAAAGAAATCTCAAAGCTCATTTTGTCCAACTCTTACCTAAACAAGAATCCCTTTTACAAACAGACCTGACCAGTGGTCTTCATTTGAAGACTTCAGGTAACAGAGAACCCAACTGTACTACCTTCTCAGTCAACTCATTCCATTTTTGAGGGACTTTGTTAGGAAATCTTTGCTTATAGCAAATCTGAAACTCTGTCTACAACTTCTGCCCCTGGCTCTGAGGTCTGACTTGTAAAGCAAGCAGAACAAGTTTATTCCCTCCTCCACATAAAATCCTTTTGTATACTCTGGGATGTATATCCCCAAAGTCTTCTCTCCTTTAGGTGAAACATCTCTAATTCCTTCAAATGATCGTTCTGTGGCATGATCTTTAAGATCTCTTTCATTTTGACTGACTTCTTCCCATATCGCTTTTGCTTGTCACAGAATCCCAGAATTTCAGTGTTCTTCCAAAAAATTAGAGCCCAGAATTATCTCAGTAATCTGTATGTGGTCTGAAGTGAACTAAAGTATATTGATATTGACACTTTCCTAATAATTCTGGTTCCTACATTTCTCTTAAAATGCTACACCACACTCTTGAAATGTTGTCCTTACAAATCACTAAAACTTCATAATTTTTATCAGATTAACTATAAGTCACCCCCATCTTGTACATGTAAAGTTGATCTTTTGAACATAAGAATAAAACTTGGTTAAGGTAAATCTGTCTCATGTTTAGATGTGGCCCACTATTCTAACCTCTTGCGATCTCTTTGAATCTGAATTCTTTTGTAGAGTATGTCAACATCCTTCCTAGCTTTGTGTCATTTTTTTTTTAAGTTTTGCTAGGAATGCCATCTAAGCCTTTTTTCAGATAATGGATAAAATTGTTAACCAGCACATTATCAGTCATAAGACCTTGAGGCATTCCACTAAAGACCAACTTCCACATTGACAGTGAACTACAGTTAGGGTCTGGCCATCCACTTTACTGTACAGAATCAGAGAATCCCGAAGATGGAAGGGACCTTAGAGGCCATTTAATTCAACACATAACTGAACAAGATTTTTTTCTTCCAAATCTATCCAAAAGGTAATCTAGCTTTACTTGAAGACTTCCCTTGAGTGAAAACCTACTGTCTTCCCATTCCTCTTTTGCCATTTGGAGTACATTTTTTTTTTGGTAGTAATCTTGTCACAGATCATTTTTAGGTCCCTAAGTTAATCCATAAAAGCCCATTATTGATATCATTACTATAATACTATATATTCCTAATGAAAAATGAAAAGAGAATACTGTTGTTATCTAGCAAATTGTTCCCCATCTTACCTGCACATATAGTGTGAAAGTCTTTGTCAAATGCTTAGCTAAAATCTAGATAAAATATTCCTATAGCATTAATCTCTTCTTTTAGTCTAGTAATTAAATCAAAAAATTAGTTTAGTCTAACATGACCTATACTTGATGAAACCAAAATGGTTCTTTGTGATTCCTACTTTATTTTTCAGATGTTTAGTAATCATCTCTTTAAGAACACATTCTCGAATTTTACAGGAATTTACTCAAATTTACAGGAATTAAAAATCAAGTTCACTAGAATGTAGTTTGCAGACTATATTCTCTTCCTTTTTTTTTTAATCAGGACAATTATATTTGCCCACTTCCATTACACCAATATCACTATTACTGTTGAAGGTATCATCATATTACCAATCACACAGGCTGACAATCTAACTCTCTCTCCCCCGTACCCCTATATAAAATCTGTTGCCAAGTCCTGTTTTCTACCTTCATAACATTTCTCTGTCTTCCTATTCAGCATCTTTTTAGCTTCATGTCAGCTGTTTGCCCCCTTCTTTCCTCTGACACTGCCATTACCCTCCTGGTGCAGGTTTTTATCACTTTACTCTTGTACTAACTCAGTAACCTTTCTCTGCCTCAAGTCTCTCCCCACCTGTCTTCCTTAAATGCAAATCTGACCAAATCATCACCTTGTGTAACATAGAATATGGCTCCCTTTAATGTCCAGGATCAAATATAAAGAAAGTCCTTTGGCTTTTAAAGCCCATCATACCCTGGCCCCTTCCTATCTTTCCTTTATCTTATATTTTATCCCTATATTCTCTATGATCCAGTGACGCACTGGTCTCCTTCCTGTTCCTATTGCAATAGCCTGCTGCTTGGTTTCACTGCCTCTAGTCTGTCTCTTCTTACTACAGTCCATCTTCCACTCAGCTATCAAATTGATCTTCCTAAAGCACAGATCTAACCATGTCACACTTCACCCCCCATTCAATAAACTCCAATGGTTCCCTGTCACCTTTAGGATCAAATATAAAATCCTTCATCACTTAGCTGCTTTCTACCTTTCCAATCTTCTTATAGCTTATTTACTGCCATGTACTCTGTGATTCATAAACACTGGCCTTTTTGCTGTTCCTCGAATAAGACACTCCATCATGTTCCTCAAACAAGAAACTTTATCTCCCAATTCCTAGCATTTTCACAGGCTGTCCCCCATTTCCCAAATTCTCTTTCTCCTTATCTCCATGTCCTACCCTACTTGGCTTCCTTCAAGTCTCAGCTGAAATCTCACCTTCTACAAAAAGCTTTTTATGATCCCCCTTAATTCTAGTGCCTTCCCTCTGTTGATTAAATCCAATTTATCCTGTATATGTCTTATTTATACATAGTTGTTTTCTTGTGATATCCCCTATCAAGAGTGGCTTGAAATCAGAGACTGGGTTTTTTGTTTGTTTTGTTGCCTTTCTTTATTATCTCTTTCTTTACTGCCTTTATTGCCTTTTTTAAGTATCTCTAATACTTAGCACACTGCCTGGCATGAAATAGGCACTAATGAATGCTTGTTGACTGACTGCCTTTCCTCCTGATCTTGCAGAGGTCCCTTAGTAGTCATATTCTTTAACCTGGGATGTAAATCATCCTGGCCTGGTTATTTGATTTTTCTTTTTAAAAAATTATTTTCCTTTATTCTGAACTAAAAGCAAACAAAATGGCAGAGGAGAAAAAAGAGAATGCACTTGAAACTCCAAATCTCTACCATGTGCAGCTTGCTCTTCCCTTTAAGTACCTAACAAATCCAACATGGAATTTTCAAAGCTGTCCTGCTTATCTGTGATTCCTTATGGATTTCCTTCTGTTCATTGTTTAAAATGCTTCAATGACTCTCTTTCCTTTTTCGTTTCTTTTTTTTTTTACCACCCTGTTCTTAACCCTATCCCTTTTTGCCTACTCCTCCCCACCAGCTGAAGAAAAGAAAAACAAAACCCTCATAACAAATATTCATAGTCAAGCAAAACAAATTCCCACATTGGCCTTGTCCAGAACTCTATGTGTTATTCTGCATCTTAAGTCCATCACTTCTTGTTTAGGAGGTAGATAGCATAATTCCTTATTGGTCTTCTGAAATTGTGGTTCATCCTGGCATTCTTCAGTTTTCAGAGTTGTGTGTTTTTACAATATTGCTGTTGTTTAAATGGCTCTCCTGGTTCTTCTTACTTGACTATATTAGTTCATACAAGTTTTCCTAGGTTTCTCTGAAATCATTCATTTCTTACAGTACAATAATAGTCTATTTTGTTCAGATACTGTAATTTGTTTAGACATTGCTCACTTCTCAGGCAGTTCCCTTGGTTTCCAGTCCTTTGTCACTACAAAAAAGACCTGCTGCAAATATTTTTGTATATGTGGGTCTTCTTATTCTTTCTTTAGTCTCTTTGGACTATATGACCTATTTAATTTTAATTCATGAAGGTTAAATAGGTGCTTTTACTATCTCCTTATTCATCTTGAGTCTCAGCTCTCTAACAAACATTTTCATTCTATTCTTTACAATCCAAATATTATCCTCTTTGACAAAGAAAAGAGTAGCCAAATAATTAGGCAGTCAGTCAATAAGCTTTTATTAAGAATCTGCTATGTTCCAGGCACTGTGCTAAGTACTGGGAATACAAAGAAAGACCAAAAATTGACCCTGCTCCCAAAGAGCTCAGCAGAAACACCTCTACTTTGTCCATTATCATCGTTTCATCCACCTGTGAGGGTCATCCTATCCTTTATTTTATTGTTCTTTTTTCATCAGTGTAGCCTTTAAAAAAAAATCTGTGTTTTCATTGTCTTAGCATCTTAGCTTATTGACAGAGGGTTGGGGGTGAGGAAGAGGGAGATCATCAGCAAAAGCGTTTCTGATTGAACCCCCCCTCCCCTTTCTACTTCTTGCTTTTGAACTTCTTATCTATGTCCTATTTCTATTTGGGTGATTTGTGGCTCCTCAGTGATACTCTACTTCTTTTTCTGGCACTATTAGTCTTCATACAGCTGTTTCCAACCATGTCCACCTGCTTTGAGCATGTCTTAATATTTAGTGCTGTTGACCTGTCCTATTACTTCTCTTCCCTCCCTTTCAGAGCTATATTCTAGGCATAAGACCCCCTTCCCTACATTATCACTTCCAGTTTCCTTCACTTGTTAGACATAATTGATATGTAGAAATTTGAAGCCTTGGATTTTATTGCTTAATTCCTTCTTTGGGTCTGGTCTCCTGAGACCTTTTGGGCATCTCAAATGCTATTCTTTTTTCCTCTGTGAGCTTAATGGTTTTAAGTCTTCTTACCAGCCTAATCTCCCTCCAGTTTGTCAATATCCCTTTTAAGATGCAGTACCCTGAACTTAACAGACTACTTCAGATGTGCTCTAACTAATGCAGAATATAGTGGGACAATTGCCTCCTTTCGTATACTGTCTTCAATCTGAGATTTCGTTATTATGGCAGTCCTGTCTCACTGTTGACTCAGATTGTGTGTGTGTAGTTCCCTGAATTCTTTTCACCTATCCCTCCTTTCTTAATCCCAAGGAATGGTGATGTTGATAAAGATTGTTCCTGGATTCTCTTCCCATATAATTATTCTGTTCTAAATTTATCCTCTAATTCAGGCCTGCACAACCTGGACCACTTATGGCTCATGCGCATGCCAAAAGATTTCCGGCGGCCATCAAAAAGTATAGAGGATGTTTTCCCTCTACATTTTGTGCAGGCCACCTAGAATCCTTTGGCGGGCCGCCTGAGGGCCACAGGTTGTGCAGGCCTGCTCTAGTCAGTTAAACTGCTAGTAAACGTATAAGCCAATTTATAATATTATTTAAATCCATCTTTAGTAGAAGTGAGGAAGCAAAGACTGATTTTCAAGCTCTTATCTTGGATTTTGCCCTTAATAGCCCCAGCCTTGATAATTTAAGTGGATAGATGAATGATCAGAGGTCTGATCTGTTTGATTTCATGAATACTTTTTAGGTAAAAGATGAAATTGTTTGTTCGTCCAATTTTTTTCATTCCTGGATGTTACTACAGCTAGATTTGCGCCCTCTCTGTGGCCTTTCTTTGGGGTGTCCTCTGCTTGGTTTCTTTGCTTGTTCTTATTTGTTGCACAATAATTTAATTTCAATTAGCAGCAAATATTTTTTCAACATCTAGTACAACTAGAGTTATGCCAATATTCATCTAAAAAGTGTGTTGTATAATTTGCATTCCTCGACAGAAATATTTTCAGTTATGACAGTACTTAAAATAAAGATAGTCCCTATTCTAAGCACAGACTGACTGCTGTTTATTGTACCAGACTTTTGGCATTATAAACATAACAAAGCTAAGTCAGAGCCTAGTAGGTTACCTTAAAAAAAAAAACATAGGGGACTTATTTAGTCAGTTTGCCTTCACACTTTCACAGCTCAATCTCTTTTTCTTCTAAATTATAATACAAGATCAGGTTTTAAATCTTAACATCTACTGGGACATTGTTGAATTTATTGTCAGATTCCCTTTGTATCTTAGAATACAGCCAAAGTAGTAGGTTATGTTTCTGTTGGCTTTTTCTCTTTCTTTTTGGTGGCTTGTGATTTTCTGTTAGTTATGCACCCATTCTCGCATGTATTCACTTTTTCTGGCACATTGAGACATATGCTTATAAAAATATTAGTCCAGTTAGTGTAAAGTACTGATTTTACTCACCTTAATTTTGTCATCCATTGTGAAAAAAATAGAAAACTTCATCTAGTAATGATTACAAAAAAGGACATGGCTAGTTTTAATTTACATTAATAAATGTTTGCTGGAGGTATTGAGATCACTTCCTGACAGTGAATAGAAAACAGGACTCAGAATGGAAGACTTAGGTTCAGGGCTTGCCTCTGGCACATACTGGCTGTATGACCCTGGGCAAGACAGTTACCTTCGATGCCTCAGGCAGTTCCTGAAGACAAAGTTGCATAGCAGATGTGGATATGAATTGATAGAGAGTATTTCTCTATCAGAAGTTCTTTCCTTCTACAAGTGAATTCATAGGTCGGGTCGGGGGGAAAAGGGGTGAGGGAGAGAGAGATTTATTTGGGGGTGTGCCTACTCTGTTAAAAGAACCATGGAGGGATATAGTAATGAATAAATCAGAATCCTTGCCTTCAGGAAGCTTGCAGTCTTTGGGTATCTATATTCTTAAACCAGGAAAGTGGTTTGGTTTTAGTCACAGTTTTAAAACCAGTGGGAAAATTGAGGTATTATAAACTAGGCCAAACAAATTAAGTATTTACTTAACATATATAGATTCAAATCTGTCAAATAGGACATCTGAGAAAAAGCCAAGTGATGTCATTAATTCTCTATAATTGAATAGTAACTTAATGTCTATAATTTCTACTCAGGCTAGGTATGTCAAGAGAAGAGTCAATGAAGCTCACTTCAGTTGAAAACAGTGATGGTGATGACAATACTCCTTTGTGTGGGTCTTCATGTTTGCCTGGTCCGTCTACACCATCATCCTTTGACGAGCAATTGCCAAAAAGCACAAAAATCCCACCTTCTCCAGAAACTGATTTCTGTGCTTCCATGGAACAGGTCCCAATTAAGAATATCATGGCAGAATCTGAATCAGAGGATATCTTGATCCCTGAAGAATCTGTGATTCAGGAAGAAGTTGCAGAAGAGGTAGAAACCACTATCTGTGAATGCCAGGATGAAAATCATAAGACAGAACCAGAGTTTTCTCAAGAATCTGGGAGCCCCCCAGATCCAAGTGAAGAGGCAGTGATAGTGCCTGCTGAAGAAAATGTAGAAGCCTGTGTCATGATGAATGATGTCTTAGATATACTGCCTCATGTTGAAATTAAGGTGGAAGAGAAATTGGAATCCCCTCAGGAAGAAATGGCTGTTGTAATTGATCAGCTAGATGACTGTGAATCCCCAGCCCCTTCTGCTTCCTCTGTGAATTCTGTCAATGATACAGCAGATAAGGAGCCAGAGTCCACAAAAGAGTCCAGTATCCCAGAAACACAGAGTATTCCTCCTGCTGCAGAAGGACTGTTTTCAGCTGAAGGCATTGCTGTAGATATGGAGCTACAGAGTGAGCCTGATGAACAGCTTTCTGAAAATGCTTGTGTCTCTGAAACATCCTTCTCTTCAGAGAGCCCAGAGGGAGCATCCACTGGTCTGACATCCCCAGGTGGGGAAACGCAGTCCATTTCAGAAGAGCCCTGTACTCCAGCATCCCTTGAAACAACCTTTTGTTCTGAGGTGTCCAGCACTGAAAACACTGACACAGATAGTAATAGAAAGCCTGCTGATGAAAATCTTCATGCATCTTTGATGTCAGAAATATCTCCAATGTCCACTTCTCCTGGAACATCAGAAACATCCCTCATGTCCAATTTACCTTTGACATCAGAAGCCTCCCCGATATCTAACTTGCCTTTAACATCAGAAACATCACCGATGTCTGATTTGCCTTTGACATCAGAAACCTCTTCAGTGTCTTCAGTACTTCTGACAGAGACGTCCATTGTAACCAGTTTACCTGTCCCTTCAGAAACATCTCCAATGTCCAGTTCTTCCATGAGTGAGAGGCTTATTCATCAGCCAAGAAAGTCATCTTCCCCGTGTGAAGAGCCACTCTCCCCTCTTAAAGATGAAAATTCTGTCCTTTCTCAACCTCCAGGAGAGAGCCTTATGACTCACCAGACGATGTGTCCACGTAGCCCTGAAACCATCAAACTGGATGCACCACCTGTTGCCCCTGAATCTTCGACAGCTGAAGATGCTCACCGTAAAAACCTGACTCAGCAGCTGTGTCAGTCTCCTACAGAAACAGAGCAGTCTGGTGTTGCATCTGTTCCAGAACTCTCTCCTCCAGAAGCGATGAAAGTTAAAAATCATAATGTCCAGCAAAGAACTGAAAAGAAAGGCACAGCCTCACCGTCTGAGGGATCTGTTTCATCTGAAGGCACCGTGGGTAAGAACAGTGAGCTTCCTCCAGCTAAGTCACATGACAAACAGTATACCTCATTAGATAAGGCTTCATTTTCTGAAGGATCTCGAAGTAAAACACACAAGCAGGGGAGCACACAAACTCGATTGGAAAGTTCCCATTCCTCTAAGTCCTCAGAACCTGCCAAGTCACCTGAAGGGATAAGAAATGAAAATAGGGAACCAGAGATCTCAAAGAGGAAAACTGTAGAACAGCACAGTTTTGGAATCTGTAAGGAGAAGAGAGCTAGAATAGAAGATGATCAGACAGCCCGTAGTACTTCAGCCACCAGCCCGATTGAAAAAGAGCAGCCTCCACGAGAGGAGCCCAGGGTACCACCTCTCAAGGTATGGTATTGGAACATTTAGAGTCATTTAAAGGGACAGAAAGTGAATTTATCCACTTTATAGATGATCTCGGTGACTTAAGAATGGCTTAGCACCATCATGTAATCAGGTCTGAGGCTGTTTTCAGTAAGGATGAAACAGGAAGTAATATGGGCCATGGTGGGGAAAGATAGAGGGAGAGACCAAGATGGGGTGGGGAGGGAGAGACACACACACTGCCTTTCTTTGTCTGAATGTCTGTACTGGGTGTTGATGAGATGGAGTCAAGGCCAGCTACAAAATGGACTTAGTTTGGTGTGGAAATCAAGAAAACCAATTAGAGTATATTTCATGAACACTGACTCCATCTTTTGCTGCCACATGTATTCTTTTCCTTCTTGTCGTTTTTCTGCAAATCATCCATGGGAAACTAGATGGTATAAGCCACTTATTGTTTCATAAATGCAGGTGGATGAAATTAATTGGCATCTCTCAATTTTAGGGGAAAAAAGACACCAAAACCTATTCATCCTCCTCTCAACTTAGAAAGCCCCTAACTTTTCCTCCAATTAGAAATCAGATTACCTAATTTTATACCCTGCATAGTTGTTTCCTTATAATTAATTGATTTTATTTGATTGTTTTTAATACATAAAAATCTGTCTCACTGTATTCAAGGTCTTTGGACTGACTGGAGAGTTTATCAACCCATTTATTATGCCTGTTTTATTAAAAAAAATCGTATAGCTCGGATTGTTTCCTCAGTTATTAATTAACCACCATACTGAGTAGATGGTAGCCATTGACTACATTTCACAAACAAAAATTATTTCCTTTTATTGTATGTACCTCCTCTCTTCTTTATAAACTTGGTAAGTGGATGGTTCCTTACTGTACAGAAACCTTTGTTTCATGGTTCCCCCCCCCAGTGAATGTTGTTGATTGTCAGATTTCGTTCAAAGAGGCATGAGAGGCAAGTTTTATTATTGCTAATTTACAACTGCCTAGTTGTGTGATTGGGGCAGGGCTTCAGTGTCCTGCTTTTTTCTTCTGTAAGCAAAGTAGAGCAGTGGACCTTGAGTCAGGAAGTCCTGGATTCAAATCTGGCTTTAATCACTTAATAGTTGTGTGACCCTGGGCAAATCACTTCTGTTTACCTCGCTTTCCTCATCTGCAAAATGAGGGAAATAGCACCTAGCTCTCAAAAATTGTTGTGAAGATAAAATGAGATAAAATTTGTAAAGAACTTTTGCAAACCTATGTAAGCACTATAAAAATGCTAGCAATAGTACTATTAGATGTTATAGTAGTACTGTCAACTTTTAATGCGTGGATAATGTTGCAAAGAACTTTGACAAGCCTGAGTGATGAGAGTTAGTGTAGATACATAAAAAACTACCCCCAGGTTTTATTTTTTCTGCCATAAACCAAGTTTATGGCATCATATATTCTTGTAGGTTGCAGCACTCAAATAGTAAAGTTTTAATGAAAATGAGTCCTGCATAAGCAAACCAGGAGAGCATTGCCTGAATGGACTGACAATCCAGAAGGCAACCTGTATGGTAAGAGGACTTAAAACCATGTCACTAGAAATCATTGAGAGACGGGAAAATGAGTGTGGGTTTGGGAAAGTAGGGATCTAACATTGATAATAGACTTCATTTATATAAAGTATATAGATTGAAGAACTAGCTTATTCATTGTTTCCTTAGAGAACAGAGCTAGAGTAAATGAGTAGGCAGGCCCAAAAGGTAGATTCTGTCTCCAAAAATCTATTTTAAAACAATTTTAATAATTTCTCTCACCAAAGTTATCACTCAGTCTCCCAGCTAGGCTGCCTTGTTCATTAGTGAGCTCCCCATCATTGGAAGTGCATAAGCCAGAGACTGGATGATCACTCACTCAATAAATATTTATTAACTTTCTACTTCATACAGTACATTCTGCCAGAGTGATAGACCATTTGCCAAGATGTTATCAAGAGGGATCTCATGTTGAATAAAGGTTGGATTAGGTGGCCTCTAAGATCCCTTTCAGTTCTTTGGTTCTATAAACATACATTAATATAAAGGGTGAATCTTGGAGAAAATGCTTTTAATTTAATCAAAATTCTATATGCTATATTTTGCTCTTATTTATTCGGTGCTTTTTCATCTAAGACCATCTACGAAGTCTACTAAACGAGAAATTTCACTGAATGTTTGAATGAACAAATGTTTTCCCCAAAGTCAGTAGGAGACTGGTTATGTCAGGAATAGAACTTGTTTGCATGTTTTGGTTTTTAGACACTTTATTCTCTGTTGCAAAAATTTTAATTCTGTTGTCTATGTAGTATGATGAAATCTGACCAAATGTATAAGTACAAATCACATGTTGATAATACATGAAATGAACACTGTTCATTGTGATGATCTGTTCATATTCCTGTGGCTACATTCATGCATTCTATAGAAAGCACATGAAATCAATTTCTAGTTGATTTTTCAGGTCTCAACTAGTTAGTCCCTCTATTTGGTAAAACAGCTCCTTATCAATTGTGCTCTATTCCAGTCACATGGGGAACATTTAAAAACTTGCACTTTTGATTTCTGAAGCTTTAAACATAAAAATGTAATGGATGCATTGCATGTAGTAATAAGCCTTATTATAAGGTTTATTAAATATACAAAAATAAGATGACTTTTCACTTTAGTTTTTTTTTCCTTCGTGACTATGTGCTCTAAAATGTGGCAACTAATCCACATATATGCAAGACCTGCAAATAAAACAACCTGTGTTGAGCTTTTTTTTTCTTTTTTTGCCTGTCAGCAAATATTTATTATGCACTTACTATGTGCTCTGGCACTGTGCTAAGCACTAAGAATACAAATATAAGTAGAAAACAGGCAGTCCCTGCCCTCAAGGAGTTTACATTCTAATAGGGAAGAAAACACAGAAGGTACCTGGAAAAAGGTAGCAGGGAAGAGGCAAAGGTACTTGGTACAGGGCATGTTAATGGAAATCTGGAGCACAGGAATGAGAGATGTATCTGGCCTCAGTGCTCACTTACATGGAAGTTGTAGGAGGAATCATCCATTCAGAAGGAGAGGGAACAGGGGCAATTATTATAGGTTTGACTTCCAGCTTTTTTATGTTTATCGAGTTTTATTTTCCAATTTTTTTTCTAGTTGGATAAGTTAAGGGAAGAGTTTCAAAGGGTCTGAGATGTATTATCCTGCTCTTTCTAGTCACGGAACTTCTAGGTATGAAAGGGGTGCCTCTTGAATAAGGGGAAGAAAGCAGATTGATGTGAATGATAGTTTTCCCCATTAAGTTAGGATGTTATCTATAGCAAGATGAACAAGGAAAATTAGTGGAGGATGTGTTGTCCTAAATAATGACTTTCTTGCTTCCCCATGATAAAATCTCATAGCCATGCTCCCATTATATTGGGGAAGCATAAGGCATTTCCCACAACTGCAATTCCATAAATTCATAAGGTTCAGTTAATAGTATAGTGGAGAGAACACACTGGATTTGGAGTCAGAGGACCTAAGTTACAATTTCTTTACTACCTTGGTAATTTAACCTCTCTGAATCTCCATTTTCTCATCTGTACAATGTGGAGTTTGAACTAGAGTGGTCTCTGAGGTCCCTTCCAGCTCTAAAACTATAATCCTTTGATTCTGTTGTTTACCCTTTTGAATAGCAAAACCATTGCATCAAAATTTGCTAAGCATCTACAGAATATTGTAACAAATGATTATAATAGAAAATTTCAGATTATAATAGAGTTCAGATTAAAATAGGAAATTTTAAATATTATCCGGAAGAAAGTTATCAGTGTTTTTTTTATTGTCACTAGAATATGCTATGAATTTCTGTGGGAAAATATTTTAGATAATAGATTTAACTCTTATGTCAAATCTTGGTCAAAGAATGAAATTAAGATGATTTAAGTCTTAGAGTAATGTAGAGAAGATGAACAACAGTGTGTGGGCATTTTCCTTTTTTTTTTTTTTTTTAGTAAGAGTGTGCCTAACTGTTACATTCAGAGAAAGCTAGATGGCCTACATTCTTTATTAGGTATAAAGCATGATACCTGAAATTTCAGTTTATACCTTTTTTTTTCTTCATACCTGTGATTTCAGTGGTATAGGGAATACTCAGTGAAGAAATCTTACCACTGTAAAGATCAGCAGATGTTCTGTTCTTAATGGTTTTAGGTAGTTCTTGGGGGCACTGAGTATTGAAGTGACTTGCCTGCCATTAAACAGCAATTATGTATCAGTGGAAGGACTTGAACTCAGCTCTTCCTGACTCCAGAATTTGGCTCTCTCTCCACTATGATTAAAGAGATTTATAATTATTGTTGTTGATGTTAATAACACTAACAAGACATATAGTGCCTTAAGGTCTTTCCATCTGTTTTCTCAACTGAGCCTTATGGCCAATCTATGAGGTAGAAACCACTTGATGACCCTTTTTCCAATAAGAAAGAGTGCATATCTTGCCCACAGGCTGGATTTGAACTTACGTCTTCCTAACTCCAAGAATGACACTCTCTCTTGTTCCTGTACCCTGAATATGATAACACTTTACGTGCACTTTCCTTTTCTTAATCCTCACAGAAGCCTTGTGAGGTAAATAAGGTACCATACAATCCCCATTGTACAGTTAAGGGCATACTGAGTTATGAGAAGGTTAAAAGGCTCATCCCATGATACATATCATTGGTGACAGACTAGGGCTAAAAGCTTGTCTCCTGACTCTTAGTCAGTGTATTTTTTTTTGTTTGTTTATTTGTTTTAAGTAAACCACAGTAAGAATAGGCAAACCTCAATTAGCTAGAGAGTTAGTTCTTAATACCTAGAAAGCAAGGTCACTTATAAACTAAATACCCCTGAGGAGTTTAAGCCAACCACAAACACATTTTTTTAAAATGGTTTGTTTTTCTAGTTGTTTTCTTGTGTTAATAAGAGTACTTCCTTTTTTTTTCCCAAGTGAGTGCAGTTGTTTGGTTTTTAAGCAGATTAAAAGCAAATAGAGAATGCTTGATGAATGGTGGCAGGTGACTGTATCATTTTCATATTTGTACTGAGCTGAATCAGCCTGGCTTTATGCCCTAAAGCCCTAACCATCACAAGGATTTAGTTATATCTTACTCCTCTTAAAAAGAAAAATGATGCAAGTGCATCATGTCCTTCACTATGCAATAGCTAAGTAAGTATATTCATTGTGGTAGAAAAATAATATTTCTGTTCCTCCCCTCCCCTTTTTTCTTTTTTCTTCAGATCCAGTTATCAAAAATTGGGCCTCCTTTTATTATCAAGAGCCAGCCAGTCTCCAAGCCAGAGTCTAGAGCGTCCCCTAGCACCTCAATTAGTGGAGGGAGGAACACAGGTGCCAGGACCCTCGCAGATATCAAGGCAAGAGCCCAACAGGCTCGGGCTCAGAGAGAGGCTGCTGCTGCAGCTGCTGTGGCGGCCGCCGCAAGCATAGTCTCAGGAGCTATGGGGAGTCCAGGTGAAGGTGGGAAGACCAGGACCCTAGCACACATCAAAGAACAAACAAAAGCCAAGCTCTTTGCAAAGCACCAAGCCCGAGCACACTTACTACAGACAAATAAAGAGGCCAGGTTGCCACAGCTCAGCTCAAAGGATGGCTCACCTCCTCTGGAAGTTTCAGCTACTCCAGAAGCAAAGATGGAAGGTTCAACTGGTGTCATTATTGTTAATCCAAACTGCAGGTCTCCCAGCAACAAGTCTGCTCCCCTCCGGGAGACTGCCACTTTATTGCAGCAGTCACTTAATCCTGCTAAGCTACCAGAAACTGCTACTGACATATCTCTGCACAGTTCTGATGAAAGTATACCTATGTCACATTTGTCTGAGAAAGTTATTTCATCTACCTCTTCTGAAAATAGTGGTATGCCCCTTCTTTTTAATAAAAATTCTGTCCCTGTGTCTGTTTGCAGCACTGCCATGTCAGGAACAATTAAAGAACTTCCCTTTGCAAGTTCTGTTGACAAATCCTCTCTTTTAATGTCTGTTGACAGTGCAGATACTACAGGCTCTGCTTGTAATTTAAGTATGCTAAAAACCATCCAGGGAGCTGACCCTACCTGTGTAGCCATTGGACCAAAATGTATTGATAGTGCTCCCATTCCGACTTCTACAGAGGGGTCCGTCTTACCAAACTCTGTTGATGACAAAAGGTTGCCAGTAGCAAGCAACAGTGCTAATCATAATTTAGTCTCCGGTCAATATACCACTGTGCCATCTCCCTCCATTGGAAATAATTTGCCAAATCATACCCCTCCCAGCTCTGTCCTGGTTCCCCCAGTGGGAGCCAGTGGCAGATTTCCTTCTGATCCGATAGCCATGCCTGGGTGCGATGAGCAGGCTGGCATGTCTACGAGCACCACTGTGAAAGCAGCCCTGAGCTGCAGTGATCGGGTTGCGGTCACAGACTCCTCAGCTAAATGCCCATCTATCGCTATGTTTACTGGAAACATGTTAACGATAAGCTCTTACGACAGCCCTACCAAGTTAGGTACTGAAAGCTTGGAAAAAAGTACAGGTGTCAGAAGTAGGACAGATCACTCTTGCAAACCTCAGCACCCACCTGGAGGCTATACACCGGCAACAGTGAACAGATCGATTCCCTGTAAAGTCATTGTTGATCACAGTGCCACACTGAGCTCCAGCTTATCACTTACCATTTCCATTGAAAGTGCAGAAGCTGGCCTAGATGTGCAGAGCAGGCCATCTAGGACAGAAACGGCCTTACAGAATGTGGCGTGCCCTCAAGTGTCTGTTATCAACAGGCCTGAACCAGTGACAGGTGAGAACATGGAACATGGTTTAGGCTTCATTGCTACTCCTACAGCAAAGCAGGATGGCAAACCATTGAATTCCACCTGCACTCATCTCCGAGAATTACCTCTTGCTTCTCCTGATAAAGCAGGTGAGGTGACTACACCTAGTCATGGATTTGCTGAACAGTTACAAGGACCCACTTCTTTCAAAAGTGAAGCAGACACTACCTGTAGCAATCAGTATAATACGGGTAACCTGATTTGCTGGAACAGTGAAGATGTGATGAGTACAGAACCTCCTGCAGCCAGCCATTCAGCTGCTACAAATAAACATAAGGAGTACCTGGAGCAGAATTGCCCAAAGACGATCAAAACAGAACATTCCAGCTATGTCTCAGAGTTACACCCTAGGAATCTTATGACAAAAATTGCTCTTCCTGTGAAGTCAGAAGCCCCTGAAATGGACAAGTGCTTTAGAATGGACACTGAAGATTTCTCTGTATCAGAAATGACTACCCAGGCTGAGGTAGCCACCCCAAATACACAGCAAACCCCAAACTCTAAGGCATCTGTCTCCAGTTCCGTGGAAGAGACTCTGTCATTGGCCACAGAATCAATAAAGAGAGTCCCAGGTGGAGGGAGCTCAAGCTGTCGTCTGTCATCTGTAGAGGCCAACAATCCCCTCGTGACACAGTTACTACAAGGCAATCTGCCTTTAGAAAAAGCCCTGCCACAGCCCCGATTAGGAGCCAAACTAGAAATTCACCGGCTTCCCCTGCCTCTGCAGACCCCCTCAGTGTGCAAAACAGCATCCGAGAGGAATATCATCGAAACTCCTGCTAGCTCTCCAAATCCAGATGGTAAAGGCTACTTGGCAGGGACTCTAGTGCCCCTGCAGATTAGAAAGCGAGAAAACCACCCAAAAAAGAGAATGGCCAGGACTGTGGGGGAACATGCACAAGTGAAATGTGAGCCGGGAAAGCTGCTGTTGGACACAGATGTTAAAGTGGCGCCATGTGTCATCAACTCCAACATGAATCAACTGGGGCACAGCCAGCCTTTTAAGCAAGAGTGGATGAGCAAACACACAGCCCAGAACAGAATTGCTCACAGCCCTGAGATGAAGCAGCAGAAGAGGCTGCTTCCCTCTTGTAGCTTCCAGCAGAACTTGTTCCATGTTGACAAGAATGGCAGCTTTCACCCAGATGCCAGTACCTCACACCGACAGCAGTTTTACCAAATGCCTATGGCTGCACGGGGCCCCATTCCTTCAACTGCTCTGTTGCAGGTCTCTTCCAAGGCCACAGCTGGCTGCCATGCATTTGCCTTCAACAGGCACCTGGAACAGAAGGGCTTGGGAGAGGTTGGAATTCCAACAACCTCTCACCAGTTAAGGTTGGCCAGTGTGTTATCACCCAGTATTCCCATTAAGGAAGGTGATGACATGGGCAGCACTGTACATGCCATCCAGAATAAATCCTTGGTGCATCCCCCCTCCACCACCACCACCCCTTCCTCCGCCCCCTCCACCACCCCCACCTCCCCATACCACCTTCCCTTCCTAACGCAGAAGTCCCACCTGATCAAAAACAACCACCAGTTACTATGGAAACCACTAAAAGACTTAGTTGGCCACAGCCAGCCGGCATATGTAGCAATATAAAATCTGAACCTCTTTCCTTTGAGGAAGGTCTGAGCAGCTGTGAACTGAGTATGAAGCAAGTGTCTTATGACCAGAATGAAGTGAAAGAACAGTTAAAAGCCTTTGGGCTAAAAAGTGCAGATTTCTCTTCCTATATACTTTCTGAGCCACAAAAGCCTTTTACCCAAGTAGCTGCTCAGAAAATACAGGTGCAGCCACAGCAGCCACAGCCACCACAGCAGCTCTGTGGAAATTACCCAGCTATACACTTTGGTAGCACAAACTTCAAAAGGGCAGCCTCTGCAATTGAAAAGTCCATTGGAATTTTGGGAAGTGTTTCTAGCACTGCCACAGGTCTCTCTACCCAGAATGCTCAGATTCCAGTTCAAAACTTTGCTGACAACAGCAATGCAGATGAGCTGGAGTTGAAATGTTCATGCAGGCTGAAAGCCATGATTGTGTGCAAGGGCTGTGGGGCCTTCTGCCATGACGACTGCATAGGCCCTTCCAAACTCTGTGTGGCTTGCCTGGTTGTCCGATAGGAGCCAAGTCCAAGGTGCAGTATCCCATTTCCTTGTGGAGAAGCCAAACAACAGAAACAGAAATAATGTAATTGCAGTGCTTTCTATCATTCTAATTTATTTTGTTTTAGGGGGTATTATATTCTTCACAGTTAGATTCCTTTTCTCCTTTCCCCACCCCCTTTGCCTTATTATATCTCTTAAAAAGGATGCATAACATCAGAAATGTCTCAGTGGCATGTTGTATGTGGTTTTTAGTTTAGTTTTGTTTTCAGTAAGCTTGGTTGTCATGATAAAAGAGGGTATTAAGAAGTGTCATTCCCAGCTTTGGAAATAATATGCCAACATGGGCACATTGTACCGAATTTGTTTTCCTAGGTAGTTGATCTGAAATGTCCTGAGATAAATAATTAGGACATGTTAATTTGGTTTCTTTCAACAGAAAATAAAGTCAGGAGAGGGAGATAGTTATTTTAAATAGTTTAGAATTTTACCCTGCATTAACAATTGCAATAGTTAGCTGTCCTACCTGAACCTACCTTTAACGTGGATTATGCCCAGTCATATTAACTGGGGAAGGAATCAGACTTAAAAGGTGTGCCTAGGGAGTTATTTGCTTGCTGAGCCTCGCACAAGATATTAATAGAGGTAAGAGTTTAATGAAAACAACCATTCTTATTGATTTCCCCATTTGGTCCTCCCAAACACTGTTAACAGAGTAGAATGGCTTGGCCTGTTAAGAGATTTGCACAGGTTTATACATCTGGGGAAAATAGTATCTATCTTCAATCCTTAAGTGTGTCTCATAGAGCCAGTAATGTGACCTTGGCCCCACCAATTTATTTTAAGTCCAGAGTAACCAACTCTTGACCCCAATAAATACTATATTCTATTCTTCATAGCTTCATGCATGGTCCTTGAAGCAAAATGAAAAAAAAAATTTCTCCAATTAAAATATTTCACATATAGGTGAATAAACAGATAAATACGGCAAATACTTTCCATTTTATTCAGTATAATACATTCATTAGCTATTAGAGTTTGAAGGGAAAAGTGATAGTGGCCCTTCATCGATGACACTTCTGAATTCTGGCTTCTCTACTTAGGCCAGGCACTATCTTTGAAGGTGACATTGATGATGAAAGTGAATGTCGGATTAGAGGGCTAATTTAGTAGAAAACACTTTTTAAAATGTTTTTCATGTTTTACTATCTATATAGATATATTTGACTCTGAATTTGTAATCCTTATTTTAAAAATTACTTCTAGATAATGCATGCTTAAATTTTTTTTTCCTTAATTTAATTCCAGACATTGTTAGTGTTGGGGGAGTGGGAGTGCTTTTTTGAAAAAGGGATACTGTATCTTTGAAACACGACCATCAGTATTTAACTAGTACAATATGCATGTTGAGGACTCTGTAGCTACTTTCCAAAAGCTTTCGCTACCATCACATCTGAAAACAGTTGTAATTTGGGGGCTGTAGTCACAAAAGCACATGCAGATTGTAGGAAGAAAAAATGTAACGTACCCTTTTTACTCCAAATTAGCAAAAAAATTTGGAATGCAGTGAACTCATCCACTGATGTGGTTGTGACCACTAAAATAAACACAAAAACATAGGAGAAATGGTAATTTATATCTAGGTAGAGCCACCTGGCTGTTTACGTGTGGGATTATCTTAATAATGAAAATGCTATGCCATTCCCTTAGAGTTTGTCTTAAGAGTAGACTAAAATGAGCAACTTAAGATTCTAACATGTTTTCCCCTCATATTTATTGTTATGGTATTGCCAAATTCCTTTTGTTATGTGATTACAAGTCAGTTTTGATCAACAAAAATTGATAATACGGAAAGATACTTTCTCTCTACAAATGCCTCCTTTTGTGAAGTAATTCAGCTTTTCAGTACTTTTGCTACTATCTTTCCCATAAAACTGATAATTGAAGAAGTTAGGAGTGCACTTAATCCATTCCAAAGGAATCAGGATAGACTTCAGAAGATACTTAAGCTCCTCTTGTGTGCCAAGTGTCAGTTTAGTGGTGTCTTTTGTTTTGTATCACATCATATTGTATTTAATTTTTACAAAGGTCAGAGCAAAGAACTTCATTCCCCAGGTGAGCAGAATGACAAGAATATGCTAGTGTATCTTAATGTGAACAATCCCTAGGAAACAGGAGTGCATGTCTCCTAGTTCCAAACTCTTTGGCTACTATGTGGGTATGAGGCTCTGTTTACACCAGCAGATTGAAAAATATTGTAGCAGTGACTGATATGCAGTGTTGAGAGAAATTCCAACCAACAGAACATTTGCACTTTTTATGTGAGATATGAATGCAACTGATGTGATACTAAACTCATTCTTATCAGCTCAGTCATTTTTGTATATTGCTTGCAAGCGGCTTTTGGGGGATAAAGAAAAGTGTCCTTCTGTATCTTTGATTTTTCATTGACTAGGTTTTAAGAATCTATTGATGGTTTTGTATTTAGTCATTCTGTAGCCTAAATCGGAGCGCAATCAAGTTCAATGCTAGCTTTTGCTGATTTTTTGCCTGTTCTTGCCCATTCTGGTTTTGCTCCAATTTAGTTTCCTAACCTAGTGCTTATGCAGTTTGGTGTCACTGAGCAGCTGTGTTCACACACTAAAAAATAGTGAGATTTAAAAAGTAATAAGCAACATGAAGGGTCAGATATTCTGCAGGTATCTATTGAGTGCATATAGAAAAGCCAACGTATGCAAATTAGGCCAGTAGGCTTTCTCTTTGCTGATTTGCACCAGCTGCCACCTTTGAGTACATATGGGGTAGTTGGCCCATTTCCTCCTTGGTTTATGTTAATATGAAGGCTTTGGTATGTACCCTGTCATACCTGTGGACTATTGTACCTTGATGTATCCCCATCAGGAAGAAAAATATTTGCACACTTGCCTTTTGTTTTTTTTTATTTCCTTCTTAAAAAAAAAAATTCCTAAGTAGCACTTTTGGAGCAGGGGAAGGAAGAAAAGTTGCTTCCCCTCCCTCACCTCCTTCATGATATGCATATACCTGAGGTGTATAATGACAGTAAGGTACCAAGGAGCATACTAAGAAGTGTGTCATACTACAAAATTAATTTCCAATATGAAGATTCTTTTCTTCCCCAGAGTGAGAAAAATAGAAAGGTTGGTGAACTGAGCACCCTATTTATATACTGTTTACTTGCTGAGATGTAGTCCATGGAAAATGTAGGTTAACTTGAAGAAAATAGACTACTGAGGTTGGACCTCTTTACTCAGCAGACTCCCTGTGGTAGCCTGTGTTGTAGGGGTGAGCTATAGAACGTCTAGTTGATTCTGGACCCTAGAGTTTCTTGCTCAGTTTAACATAAAAGCAGAATAAACTGGTGCATATGGTGCTTTCCAATGCCATCAGGGGTAAAAGTACTCTATGCTGCAGCCTCATTTCCTTTGACAAACACATGCACAATTTCAAAGTTCTTGTAGCCTCTGGTTCAACAGTTCCTACAAAGTATGGTAAAGTACCAAGATAAACACTTGAATGCTGGCCAAGCTCAGAAGCTCCATCTCCACAAGATTCAGGCCCATGACCATCTCATTTCCCAGGTGTGAACAGCCCTAGTGAAACTGCAGGACATATGTAGACATTCTGTGACAGTAGCAAAAGTTGTCTTGTCGTCACCCATGTGTTTTCAGAGAATGATGTGGACAGTCCTAGAGACAGTACTTGGCTGTCATGGGCCTACGTAGCTAAAATGTTTCCTGAATTTAAAATTCTGTCTTCAGCCCTCATGTGTTGTCACTGTCAAGCCAACAGAAAACATTTTTTTAGTCTAATTTAAAGGAGCTGCTTTTTTTTATAGCACATACTATTTCTCTTTGTACTATATTTGATAGTTACAGAATAATTTAGTCTGTAGAATAACTTTGTTGTATTTGTACTGTAAATGAATGTTACAAAGAAAGTGCTTTACTTGGTTGCCATAATTCTCTTGTACTGCTGTAAAATATTCTTCCACACTCACAACTCCCACCATTCCTTACTTCACAGAAACTTAATCTGATTCACATTTTCAGTACAGGGTTTTTTGTGTGTGTATGTGTGTGTGCGTGCACGCATGTGCTTTTTTGTTGTTGTTGTTGTTAGTATTCTGAATGTTTACATCTGTTTGACATTAGCCATTTAATGCCTTTTTTGAAAGGCAGTATTACTCCTACAGTATAACAGCAAAATGTGAAATCAACCCAAACATAACATGCATGATAAACACAGACTTGGGGTGAATGCCCCTGCACCATACATAGACATTTTATATCAGCATACAGAAAAGTAAAACCCTCCTTCAGTCCTCTACCAAAGAAAATACCATTCCCACAGGAAAAAAAATAAAAACAAAACTCAGAAATGGTTTGCAAAATCCTCAGAAGGGGGAGCAGTTGATTTCAGTGGGACTGCTACAATTTAATACTGTGTTATGCTTGCTTTGATACCTGACTAAATGTGACTGCCTGCAAGAAGCATTTTAACACTTTTTTTAGACAGTATTTTGTTTAAAATTCAGGGATCATGCGTTCTTTAATGGTGCTGTTTGTTTTTTGTTTTTTTTTCCTACAAAAAAAAGTGTTGCCTACAAAAGTGACTGCTCACAATACCATAAGTTAAATGAAATGTTTGTCTTTTTCATGTTTCTCTGTTTCCCTCTGCCTAAAGTACAATTTGGGCTTCGATATTAAAATATTCTGAAGAAAATAAAGAAGTTAAATATAAATACTTGTCAATAGCTTTTTTAATTTTATTTCAGTGTGTAGTTTGTTGATATGTACTACATCGTGTGCCATCACTACACTGGACAATTTGAATCAGTGAAGAAAGTTGGGAGAACACTTATACTTTTGAAAGTGGCTGACCCTGAATTGTAGGGTTGGTGGGGGTGGAGTAGTCAGTAGTCTATAGCTTAGGGCTGATTTACAAATATGCAAACAAAACCAGACACTTTTGAATAGGCCATCTACACTACTCATCGGTTTTTTATCTGTCTGGAAACAGCTTTTATAAATATCTTGTCCTTTATTCTGAATGCTTAGCATTCAAATTAGAAATCTTTTCCTATTAAAAACATTTTTTCTGTATGTGTAAAACTCCCATGATAGAAAAAATTTCCCCAAAGTTACTCCATTTTAAAACTTTCTGACATTTTGAAAAATAAAACTAAGACATTTATATGCAGAGTAACCCAAAAGTCTTAGTTTGGTTTTAGGGCCACCTTGTTTATATGAAGATTTGTTACTGATGTTTACAAAAGATTGTCTTCATGCCTTTGAATAATATGTTGGGTAGGTAGTAGTCAAAGCAATTAAAACACTTTTTCTATTAAAATGAATCTAAATTTAACTATACTTCCTTTTATAATTTGGAAATGTAGTTTTCTAAGGCTACCAGGTAATGACTAAACGTGTTTATGTTTCCAGTAAAATCTGGGTACTATTTTCATGTACTTCCCCCTCTCTACCCCAAGTCATATTCAAATAAGGTGGTGAGTCATCAGAGCTTTTATAGTGTGTTTTGTATAGATTTCAATTGTTATTTTTATTTGTACCCTCAACAAAGAATAAGCATCCAGCCTAAGATTAATTAAATGAGAGAAAAACGCAGCCATTGTATAAAATGATTGTACTGTTACTTAAACTCCATCCCTGTTTTTTTTTTCATCTTTAAATAGGGATGAGTAACACCTACCTCCCAGGGTGGTTGTGAGAATCCAATGAGTTAATAATTATAAAGAACTTAGTACAGTGCCTGGCCTATAGTAAGCACTGTCATCTCTCTGGGCCTCAGTTTTCCTCAGTTATAAAAGGGAGACATTTGGAGTAGATGATCTTTAAGTTCCCCTTCAACATTAAATTTATGTTGTAAGAGAATTCCTTTACTTGAAACTACAGTGAGATTGTCAAAACTAGAATTCAAGTCTTCCGCTTCTCTTTGATTATAATGCTTCCTGAAGTTTTGTGTCCCACCCCAAAGAATTCTCTTTGAATGTATTCAGTGTCCTAATACTGTAAAATTTAGTGTCTGTAGTAGACAAGGTGCCTTTAATACCTCAAAGTTCAGAGAGCCCTTAGTTTTGATACTGAGAGAGGAATAGGACTAATATGAACAATTAAAACCCATAGGTAATCTTTTAATTTAATTTAGATTGTAGTTAAGCATGACACTAACAGCAACTTCAGTATAAATTGTTGGTGAGGAAGAGGGCCGAGACTAGCTGCCAGATTCCTTATTTGGGGAAAGACTAGTATGAATTGTTATTGCTTTTTCTTTAAAGGAAATAATATTTGATTTTGCATCCCTGCATGTTTTTAAAAGTCTAACTTGTCTAGAAAGGAATCAAGTCTGTTTTAAAAAGATTTGAACTTAGCACATGTTTTTGTGCAAATGAATGTTGCTAAAGTAATTATAATAGCTAATAATTATGACAATATCCACCTGTAAATTTTCCATAGGGCCTCTGTGTAATAGGTTGGTGGCCTTTTACCAGATCTCTTGACATTACATGAACACCAATAGATTATAGATTATCCATTGGTTACCTCTGGCTTTCCCTGCATGATCATCCCACATCCCCACATCATATCACTCTGATGATACACCACTTTTCCTAAGCAATTCTTCATTGGTAAAATATTTTAACCTACTTACACCTACCATGCTGTTCCCCATTGCTTTGTGGGTAATCATCAACTTTAATTTTTTCAAATTTTGTAGTATTTCCTGATTTGTAGCTATAAGAACCACTAAAAGAATATTAGTGTTTTAAAAAAAAATGGGCACTTATTTCACGAAGAAGCTTGAGATCCTTAAAAAGCATTGTATGGTTTCCCAAAGGCACTTCAGCCCATTTTCATTCTCCAATTCTGAGTATAGTTTTGGGAATCATTCATGATACATCTAGTTTATCTGTTCAAAATATAGGTACTGATGGATCTCCTTTGCAGGTTGTTCATCCAACAACATAGTATAGTCTAAATGATAAACATTCTTCATCCACTTGGTTTTTCCTGTGTGGTTAATTAGGACAAATGCTTTTGTGTTATTATAGGCCTTATTTAGAATGTTGTGCATTGTTCCAAGGCTTGATGCAATCACCACAATGGTATGTGAAAATAGGAATATATGGAAGATGTTTTATCTTTAGAAAAATATTCTATTTGAATTGTACTCTGGACATCTTCCATGATAGTAGTAATAGCCTTAGTTCTCTTGTTTTATGGCTTATTTTGTATTAAAATTCAGATGTTATCAAGCAAAATCATCTTGTTACATTGTAGGGAGTCATAATTTCATAGGCTTGGGAAATGCCTTTTGGAAGTAACATTTTGTTCTACTAATTAAATGTTCTTTTATGGTTTACAAACAAAACCCAAAACAGCATCTTACATTCTTTATACATTTCATCAGCTGGGATATTGTAAAAATGAAATATGCTGTAGAATATTATCTACAAAAGCTTACCTATATTTTTCATGCCTTCATCAAACATGCCATCTGTTTCTGTAGATTATTTTTATAAAAATTGTGTAGAGGTCATTAGGGGTGAGTAGCTTTTGATATTTTCTATGTTTTCTTCAGTGTTATTTTTATTTCTTGATTGAAGACATCAGGAATGTTAGCATGTAGTGTGACTCCACTGTCATTGATGGAGAAGAATTTGTGATAGAAATCTTCATAGATCATTTCCATTATATGTATTATGCCTGTGTATGTATATTACGTAGTCCATATGTATAGTTCTTATCTATATTATATATGTATATTGTCCTTATGTATGTATATATACATGTATTCTCCTTTCATTTCCATCCTAAAATGCCTTAAAACTGACTTAATTTTGTCCCTGAACTTTCTGTAAATTTGTTTTTTCACCTATTGCTACATAGCATAGAGTCGTCCACAAATCTGTTCTGTAAATTTTATGATAAGTTTATATTCTAATCCAGTGTTGATTTTGGCTGCCATATCTCTTGATAAGAAAATGAAGTCTTTGCTGACTAAGGCAATTTCTAGATTCTTGGTCTCTTGGTGATAATTGATTTAAGTTAGCTAAATTTTAAGAAGTGGCAAAAGTTTATGTCAGTACCTGTTCTCTAATCCATTTCCCATTTTTCAGTATCAACAACTTAATTAAATATGATAGATTCAGGTTGCCTCAATTGCACATCATATCTTTTCATTGTATTCTAATTTGCTGTTGATTTTTATTTTTATTCTAATATATCAATAGTCTGAATTTACATAAAGAGCAGGTACAGACTTTCAACCTTTCTTTTTTATTTCAAAGTCATGTTTTGTGTGTGTGTGTTTTAACATGTGTCGTACCATCCTTCCCTTTGCTACCTTTGCATTAAAGTCACTGAGTATTAAACATTTTTAATTTGAAAGGTCACATATAAAGTTCTTTGTAAAATTTCAGTAAGATGTTGGCACACAAGCTGCAATTATCTTAGTGGCGATATTTTTGCAAATGAGCATCATGAGCATGGCAATACATGATGAGTAGCTATGCCATGATGTGCCTTTGAGTGCACAGTGATTTCAATTCCAAACAATTATATTTTCCTCACCAGGGGTCCCGAACATCTTTCCATCTAACAACTTCCTTTTGGTTTTATTTATGGCAAGATTATCAATATTGATGTAATTCAGTTTTTTTCAGTAATATATCCAGTGAGTGGATCCCATTTAGAATAGCAACAGCAGATAAATTAGTGTTTATAAACAATCTACAAACTTATTTTTAGCACCCTCTATTCTTTTTTATTTTTTTTACCAGCTTGTCACCTTCACTGAAGAAGCAGAATGGGGGCTCTGCAGGACTGAGGACCATTTTATATTTGTTTCATGGGTTGCCATGGCCAGAGAAGTTGGCCAGCCTTCCTGGTCACCCTACTGGTGAGCCCCTTTTACTTTGCTAGGCTGAGCCACAGAAAGCAGACCTGATGTGTTACTAGAACCCTTCTCAAATATAGGGTAAAATCTTTTGGACATTTTTCTCTGTTGGCATAGGCTTTGAGAACCTACATCACTTCTCTGCCATATTCAGATCTTAGAATACGATTCCTGTAGAAGAATTATGTAGGAAGAAGAATGGTAATAGAGGTCCATGGCAAATGAAAACAATATCAGGGCATATGAGTAATGATAAATGTCAAGGAGGAATTTAAATATTAAATTCGAGGAGAATTTAAATAATTGGTGGCCAGTTGGAGGTAAAATAACATGTATGATACAGGAGTAGAAAAGCAAGAATGCAAACTCCTTTCAGGGCAAGGAATTTCAATTGTTGTAAAATTGAAGGATGAAATTGAGGGTCTTCCTAGGCAGAATTGGATCCTGTGAAGAAAAAGAAGTATCAAGTGAATAGAATATTAAAAAAGTTAAGTATGATAGACTTCTGGAGAAAATTGAATGGGGGTAGAAAGGAATATACTTTTTTCTCGGCGGTGTATAGCACATACTCTAAAATTGACCATGTACTAGAGCATAAAAACCTCACAATCCAAGGCAGAAATAATAATGCATCCTTTTCAGATCATGATGTAATAAAAATTATACATAATAAAGGGAAAGACAGACTGAAAAATAGTTGGAAACTAAATAATCTAATCCTAAAAAATGATTGGATCAAACAACATATCATAGCAACAATCAATAACTTCATTCAAGAGAATGACAATAATGAGA